TTTACACTTTAACCCCAAAGATCCTCTCTACAAATCACTCTTGAAGGAATCAACACACCCCCAAGATCACTCACTAATAGCACAAGAAGATGATCACAAACAAAGATCTCTCAAAGATGAAAAACTCAAGTTAAAGCTCATGTAGGTAAGTAAAGATATTCCTCCTTCAGATCTGTTACCAACCATATTTATAGCCCCTTGCTCGAAAATAGCCGTTTCTAGCCGTTGGGGGTCATTAAATGCTCTACAGGACGCAAAGCCAGATTTGCAGGATTGTTAGGAGAGTCGGCTTACCATTTCTGCAGCCGGCTTTGCGGGATTCCTGCACATTCTATTTTCTTCGAGAGCTGGCTGCAAGACTTTGAGCCAGCTTTGGAACTCCGACTTTAAATACATTAAATATTCTTCAAAAGAGTCAACCATTGTGCATTAAATGCGTCCTCATAGCTGGCTACAAAATTGGAGCTGGCTCTGCTTCCATTTTTTGCACGCGCCAACACAGTAGTTGAATTTCTGGCCTGTAAAGCCGGCTCAACAAAATCTGCAGTCGGCTCTCTGCACTTTTGCTTCCCAGAGCCGGCTGCAATTTTTTTAAGCCGGCTCTCTGCATATTTTTACCCTTTGAGCCCTTTTTAATGCAATCTCATTTTGCTTACTTTGTAGTATATTGGCAATTTAACTACAAACTTAAATAAATCAATTAGTCACTCAAATGTATTTTGTAATCATCAAAATCATAGGTACAACAGTTTGAGGGTAGCAAAAGCTTCAACGAGTGTCTATCTTTCTTATTGTTTTGCTAATCTTGGTTTTGAATTCTACGTAGGTTTCAACTTTTTCAATCATGACTACCTCGTTAAAAACCTTAACTAGAAAAAACCCTATGAGATAAAAAATCTAGTTTAAAAAAAAAGAGTGCAGCACAGTTTTTCCTTCACGATTCCCAACGTGGTTTCCTCATTAAAAATTTTTGCTATAATTAATTATTCTACAGATTTGTGTTGATTTATTCAGGTCATTTTTTATTTTTTCATATCTCAACAGCCGCATTTCCCAGATTTTCTACTTTTTGGTAGTCTTTTTTATGCACGTGGCCCCATTGTATGGTTTAGTTGGTACCGGTAAGTCCTCCCAAGTTCAAACCCCTACTTCCTCGGGACTTTATGCAATTTATCCTTTGGCTTTTTCTTTATTTTTCAAATGGGTTTTGCCTGGGTTTCTCGAATTTTGTTTTTCATCTTTATTTGACTACTTTTTTATTTCATTTTGTTTTCTTTCTTTTTTCTTGCTTTCCTTTGTTTCTTCTCCGATTTTGCTTCCTTCTTTTCTTCCGCTATTCTTGTGTTTTCTTTCTCTCTTCGCCATTTTTCTGTTTTGATGGAAGGGAATCCTTCAAAATCTACTATTATGGCCCCAGTTGCTCAGGATATTACTGAGATAGGGGTGGATCCCATTGTTAGAAGTGATCTTAGAAATTCTCCTACTACTGTTGAGGCCATGAGAATTTCTCTTTCTGTTGTTGCCAGTTTTTCCTGTTCTTGCCTTTGTTGGTTCAAAAGTGAGCCTTTCTTCTTCTAAATCCAAGTCTTTTGACGTTTTCCAATTTCCTAGTTAGTTTGTGGTGAAGGATGCTTTACATCATGTAGAGAGGAATCCCATGACCCTTCCTTTTCCAACAGAGGTTCCTACGATTTTTTCTCCCAAGCCTGTCTTCTTAACTAAAGCTCAAAAAGAGGAGTTGGTCCTCCAACGCCTTCAAGAACGCTGCATCCAAGAACAACACCAGCTTCATTGCCTCAATCCTTCTAACTCCAGCTCCTCCAAACCCTTCCCCAATTCCAATTGCTGAGATCATGAAAGGAGGCGAGACAGGGAACGCTGCTCGGAATGCTACAATTGCCAGCATGAGGAGGAAGCCAAGGAGCGTGAGTGTGCGTGGTTGGAGAAACTGGTAGATTGAGATTGTGAGAAGGAGTTGAAGGTGATTAAAGAACAGTATATTGGATCAAAATCCTCACAAGGCCCAGCTCTTATTTGTACAAGGGTTCCGAGCTGGAGTTGACCAGAGGGAACAGAGAAAGGTTGTTGCCAAGAATGTAAGAGAAATGCTGGAAGAGAGTCGCAGAAAATAGGGCATTGAATTGAAATCAGAAGTTGCTACTGCATAGAGGCTTTGGGAGGAAGCTACTAATATGTATGATTCTTTCGATATAAAACTCGATACTCATTAGTCCCTTGCAATCAAGCCTATCAAGTTGATTGTGCTTGATCGCATCTTTGAGTTTGAAAGCATGGATGTTTTTGTGTAGGTTTAAATTGATCCAAGGTTGAAGAAAGTTTATGATTAAGGTTCAACGCATGTTCCTTTGGGCAGATCTATGGTTGAAGTAGAGTAAGGATTAGGCAGCTTTTGAGGATGCAGAGGATTTTGTTATAGCTATTCACAGTTGGAGTAGTTTTGCAAATGCGAAGGTTCTCAAGCTACCCCTCATTCTCTAAATGCTCAGCTTTTCAGACTTCTTGTTGAACCTGCATATAAGAACATTTATTTTTGAAAAAACATTTGGGTTATACTACTTTAATTTCGTTCTTTAAATTTGCTCAGGTTTATGATGCTGGTTCCCATTATCCATCTGTTTTCTGCAACTCATTGGTACTTTGGATTTTCGCTGCTTGCATGCTAAGGTTGAGCTTATTTAGATACGAGGGAAACGCAAAGGTATGATAAACCTGTGTTGTTAGTTTAAGAATGCTATGATTTATTAAAAAAGAAGAAAGAACTTATCTCTTTTGTTGCTTTTGTCTTGAATCGTCCAATTCTGCTTATCAACAATTGAATGAGCTAGCTTAAAAGATTTTGCTTTAAAAAGCTCTATTTCTAACTTGAGTTTTGGTCTTGGTATTATTACCTTTCACCGAAATTATGTGAAGATTCATGTTTTCCAGGAAGTTGTGTGCTACTTCTTTATCTCTGATCTTTTATAGTTTCTTGTGGTGAAGCTATCCTTATACCTCAATGGGGATCTATGTTTTAATGATTGGTTAGCATTTGCCATGTCCCTTGCTCGGGCATGATTTTGCCCTCCAATTGGTTGCTACTAGTTTACATTTGCAAAAAATCTCTTATATTTTGAGATTTGCATTAACCTCTATAGCGTCACTTGCGTAGCTTTTGCCTAGGTATTTATGTACACCCAAACTTGCTCGCAGCTTTCGCTTGTGTAACTTTTGCTTGGGTATTTATATGCACCCAAACTTGCTCGCAGCTTTTGCTTACGTAACTTTTGCTTACGTAACTTTTGCTTAAGTATTTATGTACACCCAAACTTGCTCGTAGCTTTTAGTTTGCATAACTTTTGCTTGGGTATTTATGTAACACCCAAACTTGCTCGCAGCTTTTGCTTGCGTAACTTTTGTTTGGGTATTTATGTACACTTAAACTTGCTCACAACTTTTGCTTGCATAACGTTTGCTTGGGTATTTATGCACACCCAAACTTGCTCGCAGCTTTTGCTTTTTGCTTGGGTATTTATGTACACTCAAACTTACTTGCAACTTTTGCTTTTACTTGGGTATTTATGTACACCTAAACTTACTTGCAACTTTCTCGCAACTTTTGCTTGCGTAACTTTTGCTTGGGTATTTATGGACACCCAAATTTGCTCGCAACTTTCTCGCACTTTTTGCTTGCATATTATATCATCTTAAGATTTTCTCCTGCGTAGGTTCAGAGTAGAAACAAGCAATTTCTTTGTAAATACTGTCATCATGAAGCTGTGTTTTTGCCTTTTGTGATTCTATTGTGGCAAATGTAGCCTTATGGACTTGCTGGCTGTCCCTTCTTTGGCTTGAATGTGTGTGAGGTATCACATTTTTGCTTCGAAAATTGTATTGAGTGAAAGTAGAGGATGGTTGTAGACTCATTTCGATCGACAATTCTGTTGGTTTTGAAGGTACGTAACTTTCATCTTGATTGTTGTTTTCTTGTGTTGAATCTTGCTCCTTTCCCTCTAATGTCCTATCCTTGCTTTGTGACAAGCGCTCACGCCTTACTTCTTGCGATGAGGTGTTAGTAGTTTTTGTCATGGATGCTATGGCTCGCTTGATTGCTTTCAAACTTTGCCTCGGCTCCTTCATGTCTTGTGTAAGTTTCTGTATTTGTGATGCCATGGTTGAATCTGATGGTTTTGTTTTATTAACAGTATTTCTTAGGTTTGTTCTTGATGACGAAGAGTCACTCATTCTATCTTCACTTCTAGAGCTCGGAATACTTCTACGAGGTCGTGATGAATTTTTTGAATTTTTCATGTGGTATTTGTGGACTAAAAAGTGCTAAGCCTCACAGTGGACACCAAATGTTAACACTAAAAGATAGAATAGATGTTGTGTAACCAAAATTTTTGTTGATATAGAAAGTTTACAATGAAGAGAGAATGATGATGGAAAACAATCTACTTCCTTGGGTTGATCCTAGAGGTATTTATAGAATGTTTAAATACAGTTATTCTAGAAATACAATTTTATTTAATTGGTGTTTGTGGTAGTCTTATTCTAGTGGGATTTATACTACTCAACTTTGATAGAACTATCTCTAGAATGTCTCCACGTGTTCTGATTCTCATAGGACTTGATTTAGGGTAACACCATTAAAATCTAATTTTATATAATTTAATTACATCATATTTTATAAGTTTAAGTACCATTTTAGTCCCTCAACTTTTCACTTTGGTACCAAAATTGTCCCTCAATTTTAAAAAGTACCAAAATTATCCTCAAACTTTCATTTTTAGTACCAAAATGATCCTTCCATCGGTTAAATGACATATAGCACGTTAAAATGCCAACAAATCAATTCTTTTTTTTTTTTCCTTAACTAATGACATGGAAAAAAAACATAGTTGGCAATTTTTTTTATGAGTTGGCATTCTCATTTAATTTAAAAATAATAATTCTTTTTTTTTTTCACCCACGTCAAATTTCTTCTTTCTCTTTCATTTTCTCTCCTTTACCTTTCCTTTTCTCTTACCTCTGCAAACCCAGGTTCTGGGTTTTCTCAAACGGCTGAGAAGCTTTGGAATGTAGGCAGTGGTTATGATCGATTCGATAGACGAGAAGAAATAGTGTGTATTTTTTGTTGGGGGTTTCCTGGAAAAATTTTGAATAGTTAATTGTGATGAAACCCAGATCTGGGTTTCAAACAAACTCTGTAGAACTCTGCAGCATACCAATACCAATCACAATTTAGAAAATATCAGATGAAAATCTACCACAAAAGAAACGCACAAGAAACGCACTAGATGAAGAAAATATCTATAGCAATCACAATTTAGAAAATATCAGATGAAGATCAATCACAATCTATCTACCACAAAAGAAACGCACTAGATGAAGAAAATATCTATAGCAATCAAAACAGCTCCGAAACTAAAATAGGATAGTTTGGCGATTTCATCTCGCAAATTATAAATTTTTTTTGAAACCTAGATCTGGGTTTCAGAGAGGAAGATCTCTCCTCTCCCGTTGT